TTAATGTCCATCACCATTAAGTAGATGTGTAATAATGCAACCTTCACATTGGGTTAATCTCCTTCATCATTCAGTAGATGTGTAATAATGCAACCTTCCCATTGGGTTAATCTCCATCACCATTCAGTAGATGTGTAATAATGCAACCTTCCCTTTGGGTTAATCTCCATCACCATTCAGTAGATGTGTAATAATGCAACCTTCCCATTGGGTTAATCTCCTTCATCATTCGGTAGATGTGTAATAATGCAAGATTCCCATTGGGTTAATAATTATCCTTCATCATTCGGTAGATGTGTAATAATGCAACCTTCCCATTGGGTTAATCTCCTTCATCATTCAGTAGATGTGTAATAATGCAACCTTCCCATTGGGTTAATGTCCATCACCATTAAGTAGGTGTGTAAGAATGCAACCTTCCTATTGGGTTAATGTCCATCACCATTCAGTAGATGTGTAAGAATGCAACCTTCCTATTGGGTTAATCTCCATCACCATTCAGTAGATGAGTAATAATACAACCTTCCCTTTGGGTTAATCTCCATCACCATTCAGTAGATGTGTAATAATACAACCGTCCCATTGGGTTAATGTCCATCACCATTCAGTAGATGTGTAATAATACAACCTTCCCATTGGGTTAATGTCCATCACCATTCAGTAGATGTGTAATAATGCAACCTTCACATTGGGTTAATGTCCATCACCATTCAGAAGATGTGTAATAATGCAACCTTCACATTGGGTTAATGTCCATCACCATTCAGAAGATGTGTAATAATGCAACCTTCCCATTGGGTTAATCTCCATCACCATTCAGTAGATGTGTAATAATGCAACCTTCCCATTGGGTTAATGTCCATCACCATTCAGTAGATGTGTAATAATGCAACCTTCACATTGGGTTAATGTCCATCATCATTCAGAAGATGTGTAATAATGCAACCTTCCCATTGGGTTAATCTCCATCACCATTCAGTAGATGTGTAATAATGCAACCTTCCCATTAGGTTAATGTCAATCACCATTCAGTAGATGTGTAATAATGCAACCGCCCCATTGGGTTAATGTCCATCACCATTCAGTAGATGTGTAATAATGCAACCGTCCCATTGGGTTAATGTCCATCACCATTAAGTAGATGTGTAATAATGCAACCGTCCCATTGGGTTAATGTCCATCACCATTAAGTAGATGTGTAATAATGCAACCTTCCCATTGGGTTAATGTCCATCACCATTCAGTAGATGTGTAATAATGCAACCTTCCCATTGGGTTAATGTCCATCACCATTCAGTAGATGTGTAATAATGCAACCTTCCCATTGTGTCAGTGTCCCAATTTATCATCTCCCCAGATGAGATCCCATGTTATCCTGTTGAAATGTACAAATCCTTTATATTTGTTTAGGGCTATCTAAAATCTAGAAATGGCATCTGAGGATGAAAGACGTTCACTTGCGACTATACCACTATATAAGTAAAAGCAACATAATAAAGATATCGTTGCTCAAAGCAGAGTCGACTCAACGATTACGACCATAATCATGTGCTTATGAAACACGACCAACTATTGATGGCACCAGCTGTTCGAGGAAAGGTGTACGTATCCTGTACTACCGGTGGCACCAGTGGCAATAATGTGGAAGTGATAATCCGAACTAATATGGTCATATTGTGCATTGTATGAGATCCACGTAATGGTCGAGAATACTTCCGTATTAGGGGATTCAATTTACACATTCTAAGATATTTTAGTACTTCCGTTATATTAAGGTGTGTCACCTAGATATGGGATGAAAGCCCGGAGTGATGCAGGTCATAGACGTTTACCGTTGAAATTCGCGCACCGTGTGTGGTGCTGACAAACCTAGAATTTGAATAAGGGAGAACCAGGATACGAACCCACAATTATAGTTTCCTGACATGCCTAAGGGACGCAACTCTACAATACAAATTCCGGCGCCTGGGACAACTGAGTTACCTGCGTCCCCGCGTAGATCTATGTACTAATTTGGAAGTGTTAAAAACACATCAACAAGCTCCAAAAGTGCATACACTAAGACTTTACAATAATCTATACGTGATAAACCTGAGAAGATTCAATAGTTCATATACCAAGACTTTGCAATGATCTATACATGTACATGATAAATCTGAGAAGGTTAAATAAGGCATTGTCGTAAAAGGCGACTAACGGGATCGGGTGGTCAGGCTCGCTGACTTGGTTGATGCATGTCATCGATCCCAATTTCGTGGATCGATGCTCATGATATCAATCACTAGATTGTCTGGTCTAGACAGACCGCCGTCATATGGATGGAATATTGCTGAATTGCTGAGTGTGGCGTAAAACAACAGACCAAACCAAACCAAGCATACACCGCGATCTTTGTAATAATCTATAAATCTGAGAAGTATCAAAAGTGAATATACCAAGATCTTTGTAATAGTCTTTATCGTCCCAAACTGGCTCCCACGGGAGATATCGCTTGGGTGAGATCAAGCGATATCTACACTGTAGATATCGCTGCAAAAAAATTGCATCACAATGCTTTGCAGACCATTGTGACGTCATTGGTTACCATGACGTCACAATCAAATGAGATCACTAATGGCTCTGCTACTGAAGCTGTAAGCAGTACTTTTTACACTTAAGACACTGCTAATTACTGTCTACAAACTGAAAAAGTTGGAAGAATGATGTTGGATGATAAATAAAATCTCACCCTCGTGTCTTTTGATATCAAATATATCAACACTCGTTGATAAAAGTGGAAAAAATCCTCGGCAAACCTCGGAGTTTTCCTACTTTTATCAACTCATGTTGATATATTTGATATCAAAAGACACTCGGGTGAGATTCTCTATTTATCATCCAAAACTGGCTTCCATAGGAGATATCGCTTAGGTGAGATCATGCGATATCTACATTGTAGATGAAATTGCATCACAATGCTTTGCAGACCATTCTGACGTCATTGGTTACCATGACGTCCCAATCAAATGACATCACTAATGGCTCTGCAACTGAAACTGTTAGCAGTACTTTTTACACTTAGACACTGCTTTTTACTCAGTCTACAAACTGAACAAGTTGGAAGAATGATGCTGAATGATAAATAAAATCTCACCCTCGTGTCTTTTGATAGGAAATATATCAACACTCGTTGATATATTTGATATCAAAAGACACGAGGGTGAGATTCTCTATATACATGATATATCTGAGAAGTTTCAAAAGTTCATATACTAAGATCTTTGTAAAAATCTATATACGATAAGTCTGAGAAGTTCCAATAATGCATATACCAAGATCTTTGTAATAATCTACACATGGAAATTCTGACAAGTTTCATTAATGCATATACCAAGATCTTTGTAATGATAAATCTGATATGAATCAATAGTGGATTTGCCAAGATCTATGGAATAATCTATACATGATAAATCTGACAAAGTTTACCCCTTTAATATATTAAGATCTTTGCAATCATCCATAAATGATAAAACTTGACAACGTGCAGCTGTGCATATACTAAGATCATTTGATATATACTAACAGAAAAAAACCGTAATAGTGCTGCATATAAAAAAAAGACATATCCACTTTAGGGTTGTGTACACAATTTGCACAGCGCACAATGTGGATGTTTGTGTGTTTGCTGGGAGAATCATACCCACAAACACATTTAATGTTAATAGCACAATTTATTGTTTGGCTATACAATGTGCATAGGATACTTTTGTTTAACCGAAAATAACACTTACACAATGCCACGGCTTATTGAAAAATCAACGTCTACGCGTCACTGGTGTGCTGCAAACAGGAATGACGCAAAACGAAGTTGTTAATAACAATTTTATTGGCATACGCTACCGGGACGGACATGTTTTACCCTTTGATCAAATGCAGGGATGTAACGCCACATTGCAGCAGAGTAATGCTACCCACATGTTGCACGTGTTGTAATTGTCTTTTTGAGGCAGCATAACATTGCTGTTCTGAAAAGGCCGGCTGTTTCTCTCCCCACGTAAAACAAGTCTGGGATGAGAAAGGTCGACGCCTACGACGGGATCAGAACAAGCCGGTAACGCTTAATAACTTGGGCCAATTTTCGTTTGACATATGGAACAACATGCCCCAGAATGTTTTCAATCATCTGGTGTATTTGCCTCGCCTGTATCAACGCAAATGGTGGCCACACCCGATACTGACATTGTCAATTGAGTTGTTACACCACCCCTCTTTAAGGGTGTGTCACTCTGTCTTCTATGACCAGGTATAGGTTTTGTCAATGGATTTGCTATGATAAAACATTGGTAAGACAAATGACCACATATTGTTGTTATTTTCAATTACATAACATTTACGACCCGTGAAGATTCCGGGGTAGAATAGGTCTTCAGCAACCCATACTTGCCGTAAAAGGCGACTATGCTTGTCGTAAAAGGCGACTAACGGGATCGGGTGGTCAGGCTCGCTGACCTGGTTGATGCATGTCATCGATTCCAAGTGCGTGGATCGATGCTTATGATGTCAATCACTGGATTGTCTGGTCCAGACTCGATTATTTTACAGACCGCCGTCATATAGCTGGAATATTGCTGAGTGCGGCGTTAAACAACCAACAAAAACCCCATAACATTTACACCACTTCATATGAAACACAGTTACTTTTTTTCCGTTAGTATACAAGAGTTTCGAACAAACTAAGCTAACAAATCCTGTACACACAGGCCAGACAGACCCCACGATCTCTCAGTCTTGAGCCTAAAGCAGACCTGTCAGCATGTAATGTAGCTGGAATATGCACATGCATGCAACTAGCATGCACTAATGAAAACAATCATTATTTGACGTGAAGCTTTTAGCTCCGATGGGAGAAGGAGTCATTATCTCCTAACTGTTGTCCGGATATAGATCAATAACGTGCTATGGACTAATGAATATCATGACGAGTACCTTATATCATACGGAGGAAATGTTGTCACTGATGACTGGTGAAGCCAGGTTAGCATTGATGGAAAGACTTCTCACTGTCTACTTGTAAGCTGGGAAATTTGGGTGTGTGGTCTGAAGGGTGGATTAAGCGTGTGGAATCTGATCCTGATCAAACCCGTTTGAAGTTCGGATGTCGAAAGGTGAGAGTTACTGTTTTTCTGTTGTAATATATATAAACCGTCAACGCCAAAAAATATCAGTCTTGATTATCTGTCGAAACAGATCGGCCGTAAAAGTGAGTGAGTCTGCTTCTTTCCAAGGTTACCTTGATTACGATAGGGTCCGGCTAATAAGGAAACAAATGGTAATCCCTCGTACTTCGTGCCTGACGATATGGGGATTTTCGAGAGGTACAGTGTCAGTACTTGAGAACCCTTGGACCCTTGGACCCTTGGACCCTTGGACCCGGGGACCTGCTACTGTAGTTCCCCTAGCAATCACAAGATCTTTGTTTGATATATTTTAGTGACGTCTTGTGTTGCTAGTCCAACACACTCTAATTTGTCACTATCTATGAGAGACTTCAGTCTCGGTCCAAAACTCTGGTACTTAAAATATGTTTCTTGTTCAATGAAGGCTGGCAATCTAGGCGAGAGCGGGCGCGCTTCCAAGCTGGCTATAGCTTGAGGTCTGCTGTTGGTTAAACATCCGGGTCCCTACGTCACAACCTTCTCATCTCAGAACTAACCATCGGTCACTAATCTTCCCCCACAATAACATTTTCCACTTCCCTACTCACTCTTAACGGTATCTCCATAATTGGGCTCTTTGGTAGTGTTTGTTTGTTTTTTAACGCCTCACTCAGCAATATTCAAACTCTATGACGGCGGTCTGTAAGTAATCGAGTCTGAACCAGTGATTGACATCATGAGCATCGTTCAACGCAATTAGGATCGATGACATGCATCAACCAAGTCAACGAGCCTGACCACCCTATCCCGTCAGTTGCCTCTCACGACAAGCCTAGTCGCCTTTTACGGCAAGTATGGGTTGCTGAAGACCTATTCTATCCCGGATCTTCACGGGTCCCTTGTTAGTGATTTCACGGAATTCGGCGTTCAATTCCCAGATTTGCCCATGCCAAAATAAGTCGAAAGGTACCTGGCTACTAGTATGGTTATGACAGTTCTGATGCTAAACCCTAAGGGGGCGCTGGGGTAGCCTAGTGGTGAAAGCGTTCACTCGTCACACCGACGACCCGGGTTCGGTTCCCCACATGGATGTAGACTGCCTTCGTGATCTAGTGGTAGAGCGGCCGCGTCATACCAAGAGACGTTAAAAGATGGTACTTGTTGTTACGTTGCCTGGCGCTCGGCATTAAGGGGCTAAAACAAGAAATGGTTGCCTCGGAGTCAGTATGCTTTGTATGTGTGGGGTATTCATGTTAAACTGCGGCATGCTATCTCAGTGGACTAGCACTGTAAAATCGAACTAGTCCGGACCAGTACAAGCAGCAATTGGGATATGATGACATGTATAAAGTCAGCGAGCCTGATCACCAGTTAGTAGCCGCCTACGACAAGCATGCGTTGCTGAAGACCAATTCTAACCCGAATCTTCACAGGTCAGTTTGGTATGCCGTGGCTAGGGCATCAAGCCACGGACCTTCCGCTCTACTCGACCATTGAGGCTGACCATGAAACAGTGGACGAGAGAGCGAGAACGTTAACAGTAAAGAGTTGCTTTGATCTGTAGATGGGGAGGAACGTGACGCAGATTATAGACGTATGTAAATGAAAGCGTAAAACCCCGTCCTCTCCATATTCCTTAGAAATCTGTGCAAAAACCAGATTTGATTGTACGATTCCGACTATATCATGAGCGTGTGTTTATGAATCACTTTCAAATAGTGACGATACCAGGTGTTCGCGAAAAAGTGAGCATATCCAGCTATTTTGACTTTTTTTTGTCACTGATATTGAGGGAGGAGGGGGGGGGGGGGGGGGGGGGGGCACAGATGGGAACAATAGATATAATGTGTGAAGACACCTGGTGTCCCCCGCCGTCCAATTACGGCGGCGTTGAGCCCTTCTCACCCACTCTCATTAGGCAGCGCTAACGATTCCTACCTGCGGCAGCCAAAATGTGTTACATTTCATGTGATTATCAATCCAGATATATTATAAGTCAAAGCGGCACAATCCTGCCACACTCATATCCGAGTCCATTGTATGATTCCGACTATATCATGAGCATGTGTTTATTAATCAACATCTTAGAGTGTCTACACATGTCTACTGCACTCACCAAGTACAGCAAAAATTGTAGATCAGACGCCAGGCCACATGCAAAGGTTCATTCTCTCACGGAATGACTCCTCATCTGAAATGCTGGGGTTGAGCATGGGGGTGAGATTGGTCTTTTGACTGTTTTATATTTGTCTAACGCCCTATTTATATTATGACACCCCCCCCCCCCCCCCAACCACCCCACACCCCACCCCACCCCCCTACACCTATAATAAATGACCAGTCCCTAAATAATGTTAAAATTAATAAATGTTGCGAATAAAAATGTGTCTTTTTGGTATGACACCTCTATAGTTGTAATAAAATTTGCTGACCCCATTTTTTCGCTTTGTCAGTTTTTCATGACACCAACCCCTTTAATCTCAACGCCCCTACAATAAATGACAACTCCCTTAGTTATATGCACCGTTGTATTAATTCCCCCTATTTTTGATGATGATGGTGGTGGTGGTGGTGGTGGTGGTGGTGATGATGATGATGATGATGATGATTGTGGTGGTGATGATGATGATGATGATGATGATGATGATGATGATGATGATGATATTTCAGTAGATGAAGTATTTCAGTAGAAACTGACGAAATAATGAATCATCGGCAACTATTTTCATCTTATATCGGGAAATTCTCTCTCAACATGATTCTGCAGTAGAAGTCATCAGATGTTGCTTATTGTCACAAATGGCGATTACACTGAGTGATGAGAGAACTGTCGCTATCATTCGATCTCAAGGAGTAGCTTGTCGGATAGGTCAGCGGTTAAGGTAAATACAATGTAAATGGGGCCACGGTTTCAGGTCGTTGGTCAAGAATATTGTCAAGAATTATTAATAGAGATAATTTTACAAAACGAGTGTCAGAATTCTCGTATTTACCGTGCGAAAGCGAGGATGGTACACGAATTGTCTTACCACAATTTTCTGATGACGTCAACAGTCTTCAGCTACGACGTATTTTCTAGCCTAACGTCATTCCGACCTTACGTCACAATAAGATTCGAATGACGTCAACAATGCAGCCTCGATGTCAGAAACAATGCACTGGTTCGCCTGAATTGATATTGCACTCGTGCATATGGATTTTTATGAAATCAGTTATTTCTAACCCTAGGAGTAATAACTGTATCAATCTAATCTCATATAACGCTGTAATGCAGTTATGAGTGTTACTTGTTTTCTTAAGGATGTAATATCGTTTTGTTATATCGTCTACCTGTGTTCATGACCTGTCTGAATGCAGGTTAACCCTCTACGTGTCGTTATTCAAGCTGTAACCTTATTTTTTTATCCTTTCAGATTCACTAATTCTGAAGGTGTAATAAATAATCACCTTAAATGGTTCCATTTTATGTACAAGAACCAAACTTAGAGTAATCATGGCAACGACAGCCACAACGACCAACACTTCCACGACAAGCCCGATCACGTTGGAAGACTGTGTCCTTGACCTTTCAAAAGCTGAATTGCCACTCATTCTGTTCCCGACGTTTATCTTCAACGTCGTCGCCCTGGTCGTTCTTCTGAAGATGAAGGGAACCGCCGACTCCTTGGACAGACTTCTCGTCACCAGCCTCGTCGTCAACGACCTCATCTCCACCTGTCTGTACCTCCTCACGTTCCTGATGGGGTGGCTGTCCTGTGGAGCCATCCTAAAAAAACCGTTCGTATGTGGGCTGATGGGGTGGCTGACAACGACGATGGTGATGTGGTCAGCCGGTGTGATCACCGTGATGACGTCATGCAGATATTTAGCTCTGGTCAAGCCTCTCTACCACAGGTCAAAGGTCACGTCACGGTCTATCAAATTCGCACTTCTTGGAACTCTGATATATATGACATTGCATCTTATTTTCCCGTTTCTCCATCTGGACACCCCCTACAGGATGTACGAATCAAATAAGATATGTGGCTATGATTTCACACCGGCTTTAGGCGGATCCGTTCACAAGGTGATATTAGGGCTGATCAGCGTTGAAGGCCTTATGACGATCATTGTGGTTTTGTTCTTCAATTTGTCAATTATAAAACAGGTAAGTCGTTATATTCATACAGTTTATTTTTACGTGTCTTTTTATATGCATGTGAGGTACAATCGTGCATGCTCTTTCTACGACAAAAGCATTTCCGCAATCATAAGAAATCTCTAAATATAGAGCCCATTGTATACGATTCCGACTATATCATAAGCTTGTGTCACTATCAAATAGCGATGACACCAGGTGTTCGCGAAAGGTTAGGCGTATCCTGCCCAATCCATGGCAGCCGTCACAAACACACGCAATGGCAGGTCAATTAGTAGTATAGGCAATAGGGTTCTGCCGCAACTCGAATGGAGCCAGATTTATACAACAATACCTATACTACAGAGGTATTTTTCTATGCAAAAACGATGACGCGATTCAATAATCGTCATGACTGAATTACTGAATTGTAACGAAAATATTCTCTATTATTTTGACTCATACGCATACCATTATTTTGAACGAAGTGAAATTCAACATTTTTACTAAGTTCATCGTTCATTTTACTAGGAGACCAGACTGTATACTCTTCTTTGAAATTGGAAAGAAACAATTGATAACCGTATTTGGATGGTTTGACATCACTGTTATAATATATACCTTGAGGCAAATCTCGCCATTTGATAATTTTGTCCCTATCCTACTCAGTTGCTCACTAGAAAAAACCACGGGAACATATGGTACAAGTAATAATATACCGCTTATGCGTCATACTTGGAAATGTCCGCCACATATCCACCATAAAACATATTAGGGAGAGTTTTACTGAGGTCATGAATGCTGTAACGCTGATCAAACAACGTTTAAGCAAGTCGTTAGGAGCTCTATGAAATCTTTGAAAACATTTTAGAATACTGCATTGAAATACTGGATTAACGTTTTAGTATATTGCAGCTGACTGTCCACCAGTCCGCTGTTAGATTTGATTGTCTGTCTCTCTCTCTCCCCACCCCCCACCCCCCACCCCCCCCCCACCCCACCCCACCCCCACCCCCCGTTACTCTGTTCGGCAGAGACACATGGTTGTGGATTCAAATCCCGACGTAAGCTGACAATATCTACCCCCCTAGATTTTTGGGACCTCCCAGAATTAAACCCCTTTCCCAGAATCTACCCAAGGGGTATAGTCTTGAAGTTCCCAGAATCTACCCCGCTGTAGATAATAATAAATTGTTATCGAATCTAAAAACTCATCGTAGTCATTATCAATTTGTAAGTTCGAAAGTTGGTGTTGAGAATTGTGTGAGGAAATGTCTTACACTTATGTTATATTTATTTTCAGACTTTACAAAGTTCGCCCCGAATATGTTTGTAGACTTGTCAGCACCATCCCCATCCTTGAGGGGTTCACCAAAGTCGTAAACGGGATTTCCTCCCCAATTAAGCTGACCGGCCGTGATATAACTCCGGTGTTCAAAGCGGCGTTAAACCCAACTCACTCACCCATACGTTAGGACACAATTCTCCCTAATTTCCTGTCAGCCCTAAATTGATAAACGCATGTAAGTCTGTCTTTCATTTTGCACACGCTATCGTCCCAAAACACATTATATGACAACTAACCATAGGCCTCGACGTACCGCTCCCGCACGCCAAGCGAATAACACGAACTGTGCACAAAGACAATAAACACCTATTTTACCGCGATTAGATTTGGTGTTTAAAAGTACATACCATTAGCAGAACATTTGTTTCCTCAAAAAAAATAATTAGGAAGCACTATTCGCAAAGGCCTTACATTGAACGGATTATCCGAACACAAAAATGCCATTATGTTCGCGAACATCGAGAATTGTGTTCTCGGCCCTGACTCAGTTACCAAAACTGATGTCAGGAACAACAAGAAACCAAAATGCAATTAGTTCCGGATGTTTGCGATCTGTGACAAGACACTTTCAATATGATGGAATTTGTTAACATCGCCGTTGCCCTGGCGACGCGAACACACAATCTCTGTGCTGATAATGACACAGGTATGGTGAGATTGTAGAACTCTGAAATGACACGTATTGTTCTGATTCCGACTAATGAGTATTTCTTGTCAATGGCGTCCTTATATCAACAACGCCGTGACATAACTGGAATACTGTTAAAAGAGGCGTTAAACCCAACGCACTCACTCACTCACCTTATATCAACATGACCTTTCTTCATTGGCCTACTTCAATGGCGTTTAACGCGAATGAGTATGTTTTGAAGAGGTTTCAAATAATCCAACTTATAGTCCGCGTGCTGTCCAGCCATTCTGTTTTCTCAACACACGTCATGGTCAATCAATCGATCGAGTATGTTTTTCACTTACTTACTGATTTTTAGGCGATGTACAGGAAACCACGGTTATAACGAACTCAAAGGGACCACATATTTTAGTTCGTTGTAGCCGTGGTTCGTTATATGCATATATACAGCATAACTACAGCACATAGTCGGGACAAAAAAGTAAGTTCGTTTTATCCGTCAGTTCGTTATAAGCGTTATCGTTATAACCGTAGTTTACTGTAGTATTTTTAGCTCAGGTGGATCAATCAGTTGAAGGGTCTTGGCTTTTTGATGGTTATTGAAGATCATTCATATACCTGAAGCTTAAACTAAACGTCTTGGCCAAAGTCCTTTGATTTTGACAATCCTAGCAGACATTTCGATTTATATTCATCAAGAAACAGATCGTCAAGACGAGGAGGAGAATTCGTGCACCTGGGGATGTCTACTCTTTTCCTAAATGCCCGCGCCTCACATTTAGCATCGATGTTTTCCATGAGGAAGTCCAGCATTGTTTTGTCAGTATGCTTCAGTTGACGTTTGCTTTCATTACTGACAACTTGTCCTGATGATAGAGATCTATGGTCACCGCGTGTGGTGACACATGCCCCATGTTTCCCTCAGTTCGTAGTGTGTGATGGTGCTGATCAGTGTTGAAAAGTCAAATGTTTTGACAAACAGGCTTCCCTTTGTACTACTCACTCAACAAAATACCAACCCACCACCCACCACCACCCACCTATCCACCACCTTTCCACCAGCCACCTATCCATCATCCACCACCTATCCACCACCTATCCACGAACGTTTACCCACCACCCACCACCTATCCACCACACACCACCTATCTACCACCCACCACCTATCCACCACCCACCACCTATCCACCACCCACCACCTATCTACCACCCACCACCTATCCACCACCCACCACCTATCCACCACCCACCACCTATCTACCACCCACCACCTATCCACCACCCACCACCTATCCACCACCCACCACCTATCCACCACACACCACCTATCTACCACCCACCACCTATCCACCACCCACCACCTATCCACCACACACCACCTATCTACCACCCACCACCTATCCACCACCCACCACCTATCCACCACCTATCTACCACCCACCACCTATCCACCACCCACCACCTATCTACCACCCACCACCTATCCACCACCCACCACCTATCCACCACCCACCACCTATCCACCACCCACCACCTATCCACCACCCACCACCTATCCATCCACCACCAGCCACCTATCCACCACCCACCACCTATCCACCACCCACCACCTATCCACCACCCACCACCTATCCACCCACCACCAGCCACCTATCCACCACCCACCACCTATCCACCACCCACCACCTATCCACCACCCACCACCTATCCACCACCCACCACCTATCCACCACCTATCCACCACCCACCACCTATCTACCACCCACCACCTATCCACCACCCACCACCCACCACCTATCCACCACCCACCACCTATCCACCCACCACCAGCCACCTATCCACCACCCACCACCCACCACCTATCCACCACCAGCCACCTATCCACCACCCACCACCTATCCACCACCCATCACCTATCCACCACCCACCACCTATCCACCACCCACCACCTATCCACCCACCACCAGCCACCTATCCACCACCCACCACCTATCCACCACCAGCCACCTATCCACCACCCACCACCTATCCACCACCCATCACCTATCCACCACCCATCACCTATCCACCACCCACCACCTATCCACGAACGTTTACCCACCACCCACCACGAATCCAACACCAACCACCTATCCACCACCCACCACCTATCCACCACCCACCACGAATCCAACACCCCCTTTTTCCACCCACTCCTTCATTTACTGACTCTGTCGCTCAAACACCGACCTTTCCACGATACACCGCAGACCACCAAGACATTAGCGATATACGCTTGTCAAGGGCTTCAAACCGACTTACTCCTTTTGTTTATTCATGTCATAAATACTATACCTTTAATGATGACATCAAACAGGAGAGTGTTTTCAGTCAATTACACAATGACAGAGCTGTTTTGTACTGGCTTTGGCCTAATGTAGTTAAATATCACATCGCATCCAATCAATATGTGACGGAGAAGATGAAATGAATTGTGATATTTCTTCAGTAAAGAATGGCTTATGTGATGTCAATCAATACCTATAAAAAAATATATGAGTATACAGCTGAGGAGTTCTCCATTTTTCCATTAGCTTTTATGCTTGTTTATTGTTTTACGTCGCACTCAGTGTCATTCCTGCTATGTCACGCCGATCTATAAATAATCGAATGAGCAACAGACAAACCAGTGATTGATATTATGAGCAACGTCCAATGCTATCAACCAAGTCACCGAACATGACCACCCGCTCCATAAGGGCCCCTCGTACGACCTCGTACGACCAGGTTGCTTGGAATATACTTGTTACATCGATGTCGAGTAATAACAGTGATACATATTACATCGCATGTCGAGTAATTATAGTCATACGTATTAAATCGCATGTCGAGTCAATATAGTGATACATATTACATCGCATGTCGAGTCAGTATAGTGATATTTATTACATCGTATGTCGAGTAATTATAGTGATACCTATTCATCGCATATCGAGTCAGTATAGTGATACTGATAACATCGCATGTCGATTCAATATAGTGATATTACATCGCACGTCGAGTAATTATTGT